ATTTGCTGCTCAAGTAACATGTCTTATTATCAATGTTGAAAACAGTTGTACAGCTTCAATATAACTGGAATACAATACAACTGGAAAATATGTTGTATTTTTTCAGGATTCTTTGATAATTAGAAAAATATTTTTTTGTAACAATATTCTTTCAAAAGTCTATTTAGGTCAATCAATGCAGTTTTGCTGAATAAAAGATTACAATTCTTTTAAAGGGATAGTTCCCTTTGAAAATTAATTTTTGATATGTTTTAGCTTACCTCAAGGGCATGCAAGATGTAGGTGTCATTGTTTCCACAGTATTTTCGATTTTGATATTTTTAGGTCAAACCGTTCTTGTCTGTCAGTCACATAATGGAGGTCTATGGTCACCACCTCACAGAGCATGCACAGAGAAGACTTGTAAATGTAAGTACACATTGATGGCCTAAGACACGAAACGAGCGGTTTGTGTGAGAAAACAAACAGTATTTATATCGTTTTTACTTCTTGTAATCACAGTCAATACTCTGAGGGCGAGGGCGCTTGTGTCTCCGCAAGCGCCAGTAAGCCCCGGTAGTGATCTGCCGCGCGTGTACGTCACTCATTGTTTACACAGAGATTTCAGAAGTGTTACCCTTCACTGTGAAGATCTAAACATATTTAGATATACAGGAGATTGCTATGGAAGACGATTTCGATATATCAACAGACAACGTTATTTTGATTTCTCAACCGCGCAAGAGATTTCAGTGCTTTCAGATCACTTGGATGTGATTACAAGAGGTAAAAACGATATAAATACGGTCCGTTTTCTCACACAAACCGCTTGTTTCGTGTCTTAGGCCATCAATACATTTACGAGTCATTAAATCATGTTTAATTTGGACTTCTCTGTGCATGTTCTTTGAGGTGGTGACCATAGACCTCCATTATATGACTAATAGACACGAACGCTTTGACCTAAAAATATCAAAATTGAAAATACTGTAGAAACAAAGACACCTAGCTCTCGGATGCCCTTGAGGTAAGCTATAACATACCAAAAATTAATTTCAAAGTGCACTATTAAACAAAAATCTCACTGACCTCAAACTTGAAGTAACTTTTTGCCTTGGCTACTCACTTTTCCCACCAGGCTTTCAAACCAATCCATCGCTTCCCATCCTTTATTCCTCCCCTTTTTTACTTGCTCTCACCCTCAGCACTTTCTTGATGTGGGTTGCTTGGTTTAACCCTCAATCTACAGTAAAGCAGTCCTCTTGGGAAAGGCTTTTGAAGATTCTCATGGCATCAAGCCTTTCATATCCATCCCTCAGAAGTCCTGATGTCTTTGTAAAATGTCCCCCCGTTAAATCTCGCTGTATACACACCTAAAACCTGTCATGGCCAAGAAGTTCTTCTGCTGATCAAGGAAGAGTACTAAGCAGTTATATCAAGCTCCCTTCCCTCTCGCTCTCAATTTCCTCATTCTCTCTGTTCCCGCTCCCTCAGAACGCTGCCAAGTGTGTAAGCGAGTGAGCAGATCATTTAAACGAGTCTTCAGGTAAGACGTGAGCGTGTCCCAGCGTGCCTGGGCTAAATGCCAAGCACAAAAAAGACCACTGAGCAGCTCAAAGAGGACACAGAGAGCATGTCTCTCCAGTTCCTCTTCTTTCTCCTCTCACTTCCTGTCTGTCCATCTGCTTGTTCTACAAACCATGTTTTTATGAACTACTTTTATAGTACTCTTTGTAACCATATAATCACATCACCCCTTTGAGACAGATCCTGGCGCCATAGGCCTCTGCTGTTTAGCATTTTCTGCAGTCGTCCTCAGTAGAAGGTTTTATGCTTGGTCTGTTTGATGACAGACAAGGCAGGTGAGGGGCCCAAAGACGGACTGCTTATTTGAACCATTCAACCATTTCAGAAAGCCAGTGACTACAGTTTATAAAGTTATAAATATGGATATATATTTTTTTTTTACAAAAACGCATCGCTTCGCTTCAGAAGTCCTTTATTAACCCCCTGGAGCTCTATGGATTACTTTTAGGCACTTTTTAGGCTTCAAAAAATAAGGTACCATTCACTCCCAATATAAAGCTTGGAAGAGCAAGGACATTTTTAACCCTGATTGTGTTCGGCTAGAAGAAGAAAAGTCATCATATACACCTAGGATGGCTATAAATGAACTATAAATGGTGAAAGACATTTTTGCTCGTAACGTGGGCCTGTTTTGACTATTATTTTCATCATCTAATGAGCTTTGGTTTGGTACTTTAGTATCTTTTAAAAATGTGTGAGAGAAACAAGCTCTAAAAGTGCCAGGGATCTTGAACATGTCTACTATGGGAAATGATATTTTTGGAGCACTGCACATCACCTCCTGTTATTGGCCTGTGTTTCTGGGTGAGAGAATTGTGAAACACGCACAAGGCTGCTTCAGGATTATACATGAAGAGTTCAGATGCAAAAGCCTCTAAATGCCATTTGAAATTTTCTTCTTTAATGATGATTTTTATCAAACTTGTATATATAAGTTCAGTAATTTCACTTAAATAACAATTAATAGGTAATTATCATTGCCATTTAAGTGAAATTACTGAACTTAAATATACAAGCTTGATAAAAATGATCATTCTAGAAGAAAATTTCAAATGGCACTTAGAGGCTTTTGCATCTGAACTCTTCACATGTCTCCAGTTTTCTTTAGAAGTAGACATTTATGACTTGAATTGATAAACTCAAAAAATCAGCTTCGGTCGTTTTTGAACTGAACACATTTTAAGGACTTTGTGTTTCTGACTGAATGAGATCCAAGAGGGAGTCATCCCTCATTTTGATGAATGAATGTGCTCGTTTAAAATAGGTAGGCAATCGTGAGTTTAAGTCTATAACTCAAACGATGTTTGAACATGAGCCAAAAGCACACACTTTGGGAAATTCTCTTATTGCCAAAAGCCACATATGAAACTCCGGTCACCTTTTTTGACCTTTCAAAGTAATTATTTGATAGTGCGGACTAGTTGCCCTCTGCACCAAACTTGATCTACAATCGCAAATAAATGTGAAAAACGGATGCCCTTGGGAACCAAGAGATATAAAAATAGTTTAAAACAGTTTCTAAATTCCAAATAGAATATAAAACTCCAGGAATCCAACTTGTATTGGTTTGTTAAAAAATTGATGAGCCTTGGCTAGAGGTGAAGTGCCGTATAAAGAATGTAATGCAGCAAAAAGTTACATTTCTTAAACTGATGTTCTCTGCATAACATTCGGATGCTCTAATCCTCCCTGAACTGAAACATTCAGCACCAGGCTCGCTTACACCACTATTCCTGCTGTTGTTTCTGAGCTGTTAGCTGCCACTGAGAATACTTATTTCTGTGAATAATATGAAATGGATGTGTGTAGTTCCCTTTCGGATGAGAACTCACAGTCTCACTGGGTCTGAATAAGACGCTAATGCCCTCAGCGTGACTGATGTCTGAAGCACGTGTCAAAGCACGACAATAAGACTGTGTTATAGAGGGCACAGCTCATCATTTACACTTAAAGGGTTAGTTAGTTCACCCAAAAATGAAAAATATGTCATTAATGGCTAACCCTCATGTCGTTCCGACCTCGGTTCATCTGTGGAACACAGTTTAAGATATTTTAGATTTATTCAGAAAGATTTCTGTCCCTCCATTGAAATTGTATACAAGATATACTGTACTTGTCCAGAAAGGAAGTAAAGACATCATCAAAGTAGTCCATGTGACATCAGTGGGTTGAAGCATCGAAAATACATCATTTTTATTTTTGGGTGAACTGACCCTTTAAGAGGTGTCCAGTGGGTTTAATGCATTTTTGTTTCCCAGACTAAAGGCTATTTGGGTTGAGAAGCATTTCTCACCAAATGTTCAAAGCTGTTTTGATGCTGGATAAACTGCAGTGAGAAACAGTGCAATGACATGTTTTGGTGAGTTGTTTTGCAACAGAAAGCAAAACAATAGTTGTTAAAATATTAATACACTTGGTAGAGTAACAGACTATTTTAGCATCTGAAGGAAGCAGCAAAAGTCAATGTTTGCAACCCTTTTTACTTGGTGAATATCCAAGTGAAACAGGCTAAATATATTTGAATGATAGATACAGGTAAGGATGAATAAGAAGATTTCACCATAATATGTATGAAACAACATTCTGGATTCTGAAACACCCAATGGCTCAACTTTAGACACATCACCAGTGATTTCAAGTTCTTGGCATCTAGTTCGATGAAGAATCTTTAACATCCATGAAAACTTTTTATTGCACATAAGTTTCTTTATAGTGGAAAATGGTTTCATATATATATATATATATACAAATATTACCATATTTTACCAATTAATACTCATCCAATTAATAGAGTTTGCCTTTAAACATGCAAATAAGAACTTTAATTAACCCAGAAAATCTGTGCAGATTTTACAATGACTTCCAGAGGACTTTCTAAAAGTAATTCTTTAAGTTCATCTAGCACGTCACAACATCTCTGGTGCCTCTTCCTCACTTAAACATTTTTTACAGTGTTTTGTCATATCCGAATCTCTAAAAGCGAGAATATTTGATACTGATCCTAAATCAGTTTTTAACCAGGGCCCCGGGGGCCTCAACAAACTTAAGGGGGTCTTAAGATGACTTAAAATATTGTTGTGGACAATTGGGGGCACTGAAGTCAAAAGGTTGAGATCCACTGTCCAAAATGAAATCGTTCAACCGGCATGCAGTTGAAACGTTAATATATAATAATAATAATATAATAGTTTGCATATTAAAACATGAACAGTGTAAATATGCGGAACAAGATGAAAAAAAGATTTGGTTAAGGGTTAACAATTCCTTATTAATAATGCGACAATAATCTAATTACCCCCACAAATGGGAATAATAACAACCTTTCAATCAACCCCACCTCCACACACACACACACACACACTTCCTTGATGTATGTGTGTGCCTGACAGCATCTGACTGGTTGCTGCTCAGTCCACCGCTTGGTGGAGACTGGTGAGAAGTATAGACACTCTGGCTCAGAGCGGGATAAACACGGGACGAAGGTGGAAAAAATACGAACTCTCCATCACGCTTTAGACTCGAATTAATCACCGTGTGCTCATTCGGACCGGGAGATTTGTAGCTGCCGCAGTGGCTTGTTCCAGCAGCGGGCATTTGCTGCTTGATACCCGGACGCGTCCGCAGTGCTGGATTTTGCAGTTCTGAAGTAAATGAGATCTACAGACCAACACTCTCTCATCATAAAACCTTGACTGGAGGCTTGTCATCTTAAAAGGTAAGGCTTCAAATTGCATTAAATAAATTATAGGCGATTAAGGTTCTCTTTAGTCTAGTCAACTCTGCCAGTAGCGCAGTGGTCTTTTGTATTGATATTCACTCATCGATTTCACATCTGTTTCATTGGATTCTGCGCTCGCGAGGGTCTGTTTTTCCCTGTTTTGTGGGAAACATTTCTGCTATACCTGTACCAAGGCCGTCTTATAGGCTATGGAAGGGCATGAGGAAATTAGTATTCAGAGTTGGGCTACTCCTTTGCGACTGCTTCCGATGAGACTCCGAGCCTATCGATACAGTGCTGTTTCATGAGATACAGCAAGCGACAAATAAGACACAAAATAAAAACGAGCGGAATGGGGAAAAGCGGGAAAAGTAAAAGCTGTCGTTCACTAAAGGGGCCGTTCAGACAGTTCGCGTTCTTGCGTTCAAAAACAGCAAGACGGAGTGCAACCAACGTAGCCTATAATGGAACGGACCGCAGGTGTTTTGAAACTGTTTTTAACTTGACAACGCCGTCTTAAAACGCAACGCTCATGTCGCATGGCATGTCAGACGCGACGTAACGACCAAAGATTGGTCTGACGCATGTTGTTGCGAATGGGTTTGGGGGTTCTAACCAAGGCATTAACCTCCCTTCCCAGGACTGTCAATCAAAACAAATAGTTGAGGGGTCTCACATAATAGCCTACATAAACTAGTTTAGAACATTTTCAACAACGTTATCAAACTACTTTTTCAAATTGCAAAATTGTTGCATTTTCACTAGAAATTGCGTTCGCCCTTGGCTGTAGGGTAGGCTACCTATAGCAACAGCTCACGCCGTTCCGTTAGAATCAATTGGCTATTTGGCCTAACATTGGCAAAATGTAAGCTACTGTAGGCTAATTTTCTATCAGTAACCGCACAGAATCAGTATATCACACCGACCGAAGCTACGTCAGTCACCTCAAAACATTGAACCCCACTAATTAGACATTCTATAAGAATCGTTCTTCGTCAATACGATTGTATAATTCGCAGACGGAACGCAAGAACTTACATGTGAACGTTCTAATGGCGCGAGCTCTTAGAAGAGGGAAATCAATACACAGCAACGCTTTTCAGAACGCTGGACAGAGCTCGGTGTGAGTCTGCCTCTGATTCTGCTACTGAATGGAACTGGCTTAGATCCGACTTGGCAATGGGATCACACTTTTTAAAAGAAAAAGAATGATGTGACAGAAAAAGAGATTTTATAGCTGACCTGGAGTTTTGAAGGAAGGTAAGTTATCCTGCAATCATAAAACTGCCATGATATTAAATTAGCTTTGGGTATTTATGTAAAAATATGTTGTGAATTGCTTGCAAAGGCTCTTTGTTTGTTTTGATTAAATGTCCTCTTGCAAAGTCATGGATTCTCAGTTGACCATAAAAACTTAACCCTAGCCTAATTCTGAGGGACTCAAGATTTAGCTATTAGATATACATGTTGGGTTTGTTAGCCATATGAATTAACAAATATAGATTCCTTACAGTGTTTTCAAATGTCCATTTCATGATTCATGCTGGTCATAAACAAAGATTTTGTTGTCTATGCAAAAAAAAAAAAAAAGTCTATAGCATTCTGTGACATGAGCTATACATTCCTGTAAATTGTTCACATTTTCTGATTTGTCCAATAGCAGACATCCAGCATGTTCCAAATATTCCATCAATTCAATTCATTTTAATAAATCAATATACTGGATGGAATGAAATGTGATGCCCTGATGTATTGCATAAATGTGGGAACCTCACAGAGATCAAAGACTCCCTCTCCCTCATGCACTTTATACCGCTTTTCTTGCCCATTCTCATCAAATTCAGAAGGCTGCCCTACTTGCATTCATGAGTGATAATTTTCGGGAGAAGGGCTAAAACTGGTAGCCTGAGTGTCTGACAATACGAGTTCTCTTTGATGGTCAGAAGACCAGCTAAATGGAAGGCTTAGTCAGTTTAGCTATCAGACAGTTTGAACTTGTAGCATAATGGTGACTAGTGATTGTGATTTTAACGGTAAAAATGCTACAGTGCAAAACTGTTCATTGGTTAACAGAAAGTTTCTTGTGGAAGAATGCTCGTGATGAGCTTTGATTTATCATGTCACATTAATACTTCAATAGGTTGGTAAATTAACATTATCAGGTAATGAAATACGGTTTATTACTGTAAATTGTAAGTTAAGTCTGTAAAATCAATAACGTTGATAGCACTGGTAACCACAGCTGCCAGTTTTTTTCCGTAAAAAAAACAGGATTTTTTTTTATAGTGTATGCCATCGCATGGCATGGCCACCGTGGTCTAAAGCAGAGATCTATTATGGCTTGGTGGAAGTAACACATTTTCTAACTCAATATCGAAAATCACCATTCACCCTCCCTCAAGTCGTTCTAACTCGTATGCGTTTCTTTCTTCTGTGGAAGATATTTTGAAGAAGGCTGGGTTTCAGTGCATTTCATTAACTTTCTTTGATTGAGTTTAGTCAGATCGATTGACGAGTTTACATGTCAATCCGATTGTGACATCAATATTTATGTGGATGCAAACAAATATCTGTAACACTTTACAATAAGGTCTCATTTGTTAACATTAGTTAATGCATAATATTAATGAACAATTAGCAACATATTTTTTAAAGCCTTTATTAATCTTTGTTATGCATTAGTTGCAAATCTAATTGTTCATTGCTTGTTCATGTTAGTTTACAGTGTTTTAACAATTGGTAACAAATACCACTTTGGATTTTAAAAATGTAGGCTATAAGTAAAGGTTAAAATAACTAAGATTAATAAATGCTAGAAGTATTGTTCATTGTTAATTTGTTTTAACTAGTATAACTAATGTTAAAGGAGTAGTTCACTTTAAAAAAAAACTTTTGCTGATAATTTACTCACCCAAATGTCATCCAAGATGTCCTTGTGTTTCTTTCTTCAGTCGAAAATAAATTAAGGTTTTTGATGAAAACATTCCAGGATTTTCTCCATATAATGGACTTCAATGGGAACCAAACGGTTCAAGGTCCAAATGAGAGTTTCAGTGCAGCTTCAAAGGGCTTTAAACGACACCAGACGATGAATATGGGTCTTATCTAGCGAAGCGATCTGTCATTTAAAAAATAAATAAAAAAGTTTAAGTTTTATAAGCACAAATGCTCGCCTTGCTCTGTTCTGTGATGAGCGCTCGTGACTCTCCAGTTCGAACTCAAAATGACAAAATCTTTTTTCGAGTCATGACTCAAAGGGTCCTAGATAAGACCCATATTCATCGTCTGGTGTCGTTTAAAGCCCTTTGAAGCTGTAATGAAACTCTCATTTGGACCTTGAACCGTTTGGTCCCCCATGAAGTCCATTATATGGAGAAAATCCTGGAATGTTTTCAAACCTTAATTTCTTTTTGACTGAAGAAAGAAAGACGTGGACATCTTGGATGACATGGGGGTGAGTAAATTATCAGCAAGAGTTTTTTTTAAAAGTGAACTACTTCTTTAACAAATGAAACCTTATTGTAAAGTGTTAACAAAATATCTTCTCAGAGGGTCAATGATGGTGGAATTTTCATTTCCATGTTAACTGTCCCATTAAGAAAGAATTTGGAGATGAATCAGTTGTTTTAGGAATTATTCAAATGGAAGAAAATGGAGCCTTCACACTGAAATCCTGCTTTTCATAACATTAAACATCAAATGTATTCTTCTTAACAGTGCTTGTGTCACATTTCTGAGTTCACCGTGGACAGAAAAAATTGCCTGTCACTGGAAACTTGTCGCATCACGCCTATTTAGGACACGTGTCAGGTGGAGTATCATATTCATTACACATATTTTTCATAGCAACATATTCAGTCTCAACAGTGCCACCTGCAGTATCATTAAACTCTCATCCTCTCTAAATGTTATTAGAGCCTTTAAAAAGACAAGGGCGTGATTTCGAAGATGTAGCGTTGCTATGGTTTTCTTGACTTTGATCGACATCGCGGTGTGTGACACTGGACACGCGCTCATTACCAGCTCCGCGCATCAAACGGCGCCTTGCATCTCGCTTGGCTCCGAGCTCATAAAAGAGTGTATTCCCCAGCTCGCTGCTGAGCTTGTTAGAGTCACATTCAGATTGTGATGACAGACGCGCTATGTAATCAAGAAGTTATTGCTCAGCGTCAGCGTGGCCCTCACTTATCATACACACTGATAACAGAAATCAAACCTCACGCGTCAATCTACAGGCAATTGGGCATTGGCTCAGCCTATCACACTTTCAAGGATATGAAGAGCTGGGGGTGTGTTCATTGTACAGTTCATCCCCTTATGTCTCACTATGTGTTGGGTCAATATCTCCAGACGTTTCCTTGGATTAATGCGCAACAAATCAACACAGAATGGAGGTCAATCACACTCACGCCACAGACGAGGACGCGATCTCGGGGAACGCGAGTAATAATGTGTCCACCTTTTGACCTAGTTATGAATATTTTAGACATTTTTATGCATGTAAATTAGCTGTAAGTGAAAAAGAAACTGTGTTATAATTTAACAGAGACTTGTTAAGTACTCTTTGCTTGTCAAAGAGAAATTATGTGGCTTTCAAAAAAAGATCCTTGTTGAGATCCTGCTCAAACAGGAGAAATAAAAGGGTACAAAAGGAGAAATTTTGTCTATTAAAAGTGCCAACATCAGATGTTAGAATTATAAAACCTGAAAAGAAACTATTAATATATATCTCAACATTTTTTACCCTTTTTACGATGTGAGGATTAGCCAAACAGCCGATATATACGGTGCTAAAGAGGCGTTGATCTTCTGCACTATTACACCATAATGTGACAAAAACCAAAATGAGTTGTTTGTGCAGCTTGGTTTCAATAAAAGCTGTTTTTGGACTAACAATGAAGTTTTGAGTTCTGAAACTTACAGGATTTTTTTTTATAGACCATTTCACAAGATGTAAACAACACTGGTCCAGAAGCACTTCCTGTTTCAGTTTCTAA